AAAAGCAAAGTATCTTGATCTTTTTAGACTTAAATCTTCCCACTTCTGGGGAAGTGAATGGAAAGAAAAATTTGATTCAAGAAATAAAGTTCAGACAGCCTAAAGAAGGGCATCGAGCCCAAACTAAGCATACTCATTGGCATCTACACTTCACATACAAATTAACTACCCTCTTTAAGCGATTCAAACAATCAATCACTTAAAAAGCAATTAATTATGCCAAAGTGGCTATTTACGAAAACAATGAATAAATCTTATCACATTCAAGAATAGTTCTTCCCAATACTACAAATGCATTAGTTTACAAACTCATGAAATTGACAGTAATTTATATACAAGATAAGACACAATCAATCTCATTAACTCGTCTAAATAAAACCATAACGCTGTGTCTACCAGAGGGTTATTATTGTAACCCTATTCAAATAAAGCTAGAATAGGGAATATAACCTAAAATCTATTTTCGAAAAGATACTTAATTTGATGTAATTAATTCTAATTGGGTATAAGCAATGCTTGATGAAATTTTTTTACCAACTAATAGCTTTAAAATGACTACCTGTTGCATGTAAGAACGAATTGTACTTTTGCAGCGAAATCTGTTTGGAAGGGACTCGTGAAATGTCCCAACTGCAATCCTAAGGGGGATTATTTTGGACGGGAAATTAGTAGATTGTGCTGAACATTCTCCGGCTCAGGGTTAGGTCAATCCAATGAATCCAACGGAAGAGATAATCATTTATAATATCTAATTTTTTTTATCCACATAAGGCCACACATGCTTATATGTGCATTGTGTGGATGCAATGGATTTGGAGTCATGTGAGATGTGAAAGCCCTAGCGGGATCCGATCCACCTTCTTTTGATCGGTGATTCTTCGTGCCACCTCCCGCTATCATTCCTATCAAAAAGCCACGAATAGTCGCCACTCAATTTCATACACTTTATTTGTCCTATGCAGGTGGTTTGCTGTTTGTAGGACTGTGTTTTCCCGTTACGATGATTAAGGGCTCAACTCGTTTTCATTCGGACCGACGAATGTATCTATAAATATAGTGAATTTAACCTAAGATGATATCGTGTAGAATTAATCAGAAATGTTTATTATTTGAATAATTCTAATTTACTATGCCAATATATATATATATATTTTTTTTTTAAGATACAAGTTTATACTTAATTGGTTAATGAATTATAATTACTTTTTGAAATAGTAATTTAACACACTCTTGGACGACTCAAAGCCCAGCGTCGAAGCATATTTTAGGAAAAACAATCACGTATCCATTGGGCCAATATTGTATTCATGTTTGTTGACAAAGCCTTCTACTTGAATCTTTGAAGTGAGCAGAGAAAAGTGAAAAGATGATACTTTTGTCAAGTAATATTGGCAAATGTCTTTATTCGCTTTTCTGTGCAACCAACTGCGGAGGATTCTCCGTTAGGGCACTCATTTTTGCCTGATCAATGCGAATTCCGACAGTCAGTACCAACGGAACAATGTGTCTTTTCGTGCTTGTCAACTGCGTTTTTGGTGCTTTTGTTGGCGCATCTCTTCTTCATGACCAACCGAAACGTGTCTATGAGGAGTCTGTGAACGAGCTGGGACGAAGGATGAAAATGCAAAGTGGAATGGTTGCTCAAATTGGACTCAAACGAAGCAATCCGGCACAAACCAGCGACCCGATTGAGTGCAAATAAGTGACTGTCAACCACGAGCCATTTCTGTTTGCACAATCGGAGCTGTTGGGCTCGTGAAAACGTGGATACAGAAGGACACTCATAGAGCCTATCGGGTCATGTTCGTGGCCCTGCACGAGCAGCAAAACAATTGTGCAGCCAGTGGACATGTTATGGCCTTATTTCCTGCTTTCTCTGCCACATGCGGCTCGGTTCAGCAGCAAATTTGCTTCCTACTGCAGACAGAAAGCAATGGCTAGGCCTATCGACCATGTTTAATGGCTTCAGGTACAGGACAAACTTTCTAATCCGGCACTCGAGTGGGATTGGAATGCTTCACTGATCAGTAGAACAAACCAGCAAATGTGTGCATTCCAGGTTAGGAAAAAGCAGTACATTTTAGCACTGAAGTCTGCAAAGCACACATCAGAAAGTGGTATCCGAGCCTCTCGATCCTGTCTGTGCACAAATCGCAGCTTTGTGCCCATTTGCTGTCATTAGACGAGCAATCGGTTTTCGTTCAAGACCAACTGAAAGTGTCATTTGAAGCTTTTCGATGCGAACGCAAACATGAAGTAGCCATGAAGCTGAGGCTTCTTTGAAGCCCATTTACAAACTAAAACCGATTATGAAACATAAAGTCTTTTATATGCGAATAGTTAGAAATAAAAGAGATATAAGACACGTAGGGACAAGGAATCATAGATTGAACGATAAGTTACTAAGGCTTGCAGACACTTTAAAATATCTGTT